TTTTCTTTCTCTATCCACTGATGACTTTTGTAAAGGAAAAACTTGTTTATTTTTTTTAGAGAGGATTTATTTATTTATTTTGAGACAGAGAGAGAACACGTGTGCACACAGGGGAGGGGCAGAGAGAGAGAGAATCCCAAGTAGGCTTTGCACTGTCAGCGCAGAGCCCGACACGGGGCTCCAACTCATGAACCGTGAGATCACGACCTGAGCTGAAACCAAGAGTCAGATGCTTAGCCGGCCACCCAGGTGCTCCAAGTCTTGTTTAATTTAGAAAGAAACCGGTGATGGGAATTAAAGAGCACACTGGTCCTGATGAACACAGAGTGATGTATAGAATTGTTGAATTCCTATATTGTACACCTGGTACTAATATAATACTGTGCTTGCTGGAACTAAAATTAAAAGCATAATAAAAAATAAAGAAAGAAAAATACAGATATTTGGTATCATCACTGCATTATAAGATAATGTCAGATATGACAATATTCTCATTTGGAAAAAAAAGCTAGGAAGTGTATTTTAAATATTTTAAAAAATGAATACATTTTTTAAAAAGGATCATAGGGGCACGCTATTATGAGTGAGCCAATTAAAAAAATAAAACTTTTAATCTAGAGCCCAAATGTGAGAACACATTTGCAACATTTTCAAATCTTAATGAAACAATCTGTCCCGGATGCAAATCTTTACGGTGATGCAGTGCCATCCGCTACCACGTGTCATCCTGGCAGCTAATTGAGAAGGAAAATTCGACTTTGAGACCTTCGTGAAGTCAGTTCAGTTGAACCTGCAGAGCGCGGGCCGAGCAGCACCCTTTATGGCTGCTTAAACTCGAAGAATGTCGGAGTTGGAAGATGCCTGAGCCATCAGCGTGGCGAAATGGAAGCACACAGGAGCAAGGAGACTTGTGTGCATACCCGCCGATTCTCAGGCTGGAGCCCTGAATGCTAGGGTGCCTGGACACGACAAAGACGAACGGGTGCTTTCCAGCCTCCGGCGAGTTTGTGTGTAGGTGGGAGATGAAAGAAATACTCTACAGAGGTGGAGAAGGGAGAGAGTTTGACTCTTTTTAGCAATAGAAAAGGGTCCCCAGTGGAGGTGGTATTTAAGTTGGGTGTTAAAAGACGAAGGGCAGGACTCAACCAGCAAAGGCGGGGGACAGAAAAGGCACTGGGAGGGTGTGGGGGGGTATGCCTGGCAAAGAACAGTCTGAGCCAAGGTCAATGGTGGGGAAGCAGGGGGTACGCACTGTGACAGGGGTTCTGTCTGTCTGGAATGCAAAATATGGGAGGGGAGGGGCACCTGGGTGGCTCAGTCAGATCTCATGAGTTCAAGCCCTGCATTGGGCTCTCTGCTGACAGCTCAGAGCCTGGAGCCTGCTTCGGATTCTGTGTCTCCCTCTTTCTCTGCCCCTCCCCTGCTCATGCTCTGTCTCTCTCTCTCTGTCTCTCTCTCTCTCTCAAAAATAAATAAGCATTAAAAAAAATACATGGGAGGGAAGTAGAAGGAGGGCAGGGTCTGATGGGTTCCCAGCTTGCCAGATAACTACTCACCACTGGACACTCTGAGCAAGGTGATGGGATCAGAGTGGTATTTCAGGAGGTTGGGTGGAGTGGCCAGGGACAAGAAGCACCGGAAGAAGTGAGATGAGGGTTCAGGACATCAGGCAGGAGACTGTTCCATGATCTGAACTCAGAACAGAGAGGTGAGAATAAGATGTAGGAGTTTGAAGAGATGCTACGGAAGCAGAAGGCAGCGGGCTGGAGGGGAGGCAGGGAGGAAGGAGCTGAGGCCAGCGATGTGCAGAGGTTTGGAGCTGGTAAACCAAGGGATGGTGGTTCCAGGGACAGAAAAAGGGGGGGTGGGGGAAACACATTTGGGAGGGGGGGGAGATGTTCACAAGAGGCAGCAGCTGCGGAACTCTGTTACAAACCATCAAGTGGTCCAAAATGCACCTGCTGTTGTGGCGTAAAGCGGGGGCAGGGAACGATCGTCCCTAGGAGGGGTATGAGTGCAAAGATTTCTGCTGGGGATGCCTTGTGTTTAAATTGTCAGTATCCCTGGAGAGTCGCTCATTAGAAGGTGGAGGTTCAGAACTGGCTTTCCAAGAAGCAGTTGAGCTAGAGGTCCCAGGAGAGCACCAACCCCACAGAAGAGGGGACTCTTAGAAGGGGACGAGCTCAGCGAAGGGGAGACCGTAGGAGGGGGTGGGGACCTGTGGTCAGGGAGGCAGGGAGCAGCAGTATGTGCCTTATTACCATCAAAACCCTAAATGTTAGTGGTTTTTTTTTTTTCATCCCATTTCCCCGTCCAAATTCTAAGTGTTTCTAATTTGGTTATAAAGGGATGAATTTCGGTTTCATTTCTTCTTCTTGTCTGAGGAGAGACCCCTTGTGTTGCGAAGAAAGACAGGGAGCCAGCGAAGGGGCTTGACTTGGCTGCCAGCAAGTGACCAGCTGTGTGGCAGTTGGCTGGACAGTTCTCTGCCACACCCTCAGCCAGCAGAACCAGGGGCGGCCAGCTCTGTCAGCGCCTCCTCCGCGTGGCCGGCTGGAGGATTGGCGCAAACACCCATGTTTTCCTAAGGAACCCAAGAGAAAGAATCTGGTGGTTTTATTCTTGGTATCTCACCAAAGGGCTGCCTATGCCCAGCTAAAATAAAGCACAGTGGAGGAGAAGAATGCACCACTCTGAAAACAGATGAGGAATGCAGCACGTAGCCGTATCCACAAAACCCAAAAGAAAGTGTGCACCGCAGGGAAGAGAAGGCGGGTGGTGAGCTCCTAGGCTGTCCCCACTCTTTCCTTCATTTTCCTTGTATTTGTCGCATGCTGGCACTACCCATGGTCCCAGAAATATTTAGCTTCAAATGGCACAGCTTCTAAAGTGCTCTTCAGGTGCGCCTGGGTGGCTCAGTCAGTTATGCATCTGGCTTCAGCTCAGGTCATGATTTCACGGTTCGTGGGTTCGAGCCCCACGTCGGGGGGAGCTGCTTCGGATTCTGTGTCTCCCTCTCTCTCCACCCCTCCCCCACTTGCTCTCTGTCTCTGTCTCTCAAAATAAAGACATAAAAAATTTTTTAAAAAATAAATAAAGTGCTCTTCGGAGATAGACATGTTCCCAACTGCTCCCAGCGCTAGGAGAGGTGACAGGGTTATGCCCAGGTGGCCGTGGAAGACGAGAGAGGTGCACACCGAGGGACAGAGTGACTAGTGTGTGTGGATGAGACACGGCTCCGCGCTCCAGTGGGGACACAGCCTCGAATCCCTGGGCTTGGACAGAAGCCGAGTAGTGGTAATCAGTGTGCCATGAAAAGACATGAATGCAGAAAGCTCAGAGACTGAACAAGCCGCAGCATGACTGAGGAAGACTAAGTCCGTGACCACACGACTCTGGCGGGACCCCGAATTAAGGAGGTGTGTGGGCACCTTTCAGTCCTAACGACAACCCTGTGGAATAGTAGCTATTGCCTGCGCTGTATCAGTGAGGAAAGTGTGGCTCAGAAAGATTAAGTGACTTCCCTTTGCTAACCAGTTTGGAATCCAAACGAGGCTTTCTAACCCAGGATCCAATGCAGGGTTCCTGTCCTTGCACCGATTTAGGAGGAGAGAACACACGCATGGGCGCACACACCTGCGTGCGCACACACTTCTGCAGTTGCGAGTGGAAAGAGATCACTTTTCCTAGGGTGATCGGAGGAGCCTCAAGGAGAAGGTGGGCTAGAAAGGCAGGCTAGAGAAGAGGGCGGGTCACAGACCGACCTGTGGGAGTGGGGAGGAGTGGGGGGAAGGGATGGAATGGGAAGTTGGAGCGCCCTCTCTAGGGGATGCCTCTAACCCTACCAAGATCTAGGGAAGCTGCACAGAGGAGGTGACATTTGATACATCTATAGGTGTGACTAGGACTCACCAGCAGGGAGGTAACGCCACAGTGAGCTGCCTGGGGGTGGTCACTGTGGGGCAGCTCCAGTGCCGTGTGGAGCCCTGTCTGGCCCAGGCTCCAGGGGGCGCTAGTACTGCCTCTTGGGGACAGTTGGATTTTTGCCATTTGGTCTATACTCACATAAGAGTAAATAATAAAAAGGAAAGGCATGTTTAAGAATGCAACAGAATGTGAAGAGGAAGGGAGGGAGGGAGGGTGTGGTGCAAGGAGGGAGGGAGGGTAGATCGGCTCAGTAAGGCCAGCTCTGGGTTCTATTCCTAGTCCAGTGTGTCTTAAAGTCCAATGACTTTAGACCTGTTCATTAATTCTGTGTGGGTCACTTTCCTTGTAGACGACAGAAAGATGATGAGACCTAACCTAACTTGCAGATTAATGAGAAATTAGAAATGAATACATTTGAAAATGCCACACGATCAGGAACTATTATCAGTATCTGTTTGCATGCGCTGGCTGGTGGCTGAAGAGGCCGGCGATGACGGTCCCAGAGCTTAGACATTTTTGGCCACAGACATGATGCTTCATGGGTCTGCAGCAAGCCATCCAAGTCGCCAGGTCTCAGAGCTGACGCGGTGTGGCTGTCTGAAGAGTGTGTATTCGGTGCTGAGGCTTCAAGACAAGGCCCCGGCAGCCTTCCCGGGGGAGCCAAGCCTTGGGGGGCAGGGCACATGGCTGGGAACGGGTCGGACACATACCGCCTGCCCACAGCTGCCCCAAGCTGGACAACTCAAGGGGCTCAGTACGAGGTGCTGGCAAGTTCACAGCACACCCCAGGATGGCATTTCGGGGGCTCTGTCCCTTCCTGAAAAAGCCCACTCCTAGAGGGCGGGGCCACAGCCTCGGGTTACCTGAGCCACCCAGTGTATGCCTGCCGGAGATTGCAGCCCCTGCCACTCTCAAGAGCATCCCGGCTTGAACGGTAAATCCCAGGGTCACCCCGCCCTTAGACTCCCAGGTGAAACCTCGTGAGCCTCCAGGGACATCAAGACCCAGCAGCGACTGCCTCTGTCCGAAGCTCAGTGCCCCGTGGAATAATCCTCGTTTCTGTCTCATTCCAGGTGCATAGCGTAATGTCCATGTTGTTCTACACTCTGATCACAGCTCTTTTGATCGGCATACAGGCAGAACCACACCCAGAGAGCAATGTCCCAGCAGGACACGCCGTCCCCCAAGCCCACTGGACGAGGCTGCAGCGTTCCCTCGACACGGCCCTCCGCAGAGCCCGCAGCACCCCGGCCGGGGCGATAGCTGCGAGGGTGGCAGGGCAGACCCGCAACATCACTGTGGACCCCAAGCTTTTTAAGAAGCGGCGGCTGCGCTCCCCCCGCGTGCTGTTCAGCACGCACCCCCCGGCCGCAGCCGCGGACACCCAGCATCTGGACGTGGAGGCCAGTGGCGCCGCCTCCTTCAACAGGACTCACAGGAGCAAGCGGTCGTCACACCCCGTCTTCCACCGGGGAGAGTTCTCGGTGTGCGACAGCGTCAGCGTGTGGGTGGGGGACAAGACCACCGCCACTGACATCAAGGGCAAGGAGGTGATGGTGTTGGGTGAGGTGAACATTAACAACAGTGTGTTCAAACAGTACTTTTTTGAGACCAAGTGCCGGGACCCCACCCCCGTAGACAGCGGGTGCAGGGGCATCGACTCCAAGCACTGGAACTCATACTGCACCACGACGCACACCTTCGTCAAGGCGCTGACCATGGACGGCAAGCAGGCTGCCTGGCGGTTTATCCGCATCGACACGGCCTGTGTGTGCGTGCTCAGCAGGAAGGCTGGGAGAAGAGCCTGACCCCAGGACAGCCCCCACCCTCCCCAGCCCCCCCTCCACACCCTCCTGGACCCCTCCCTACCTCAACCTGTAAATTATTTTAAATTATAAGGACTGCATGGTAATTTATAGTTTATACAGTTTTAAAAAATCATTATTTATTAAATTTTTGGAAGCATCCCTTGTGCCGGCACACCAGTCATTCTTCCCACTGCGACCATCTCCGGGGCTCAGATCGCTGCAGGGTGAGTTAACCCGCAGCAACCCCTGTTGGGAAGCCTCACCCCAAGCCAGCCAGCTCCGCAGACCTTAGGGAGCACTGAGTGGGTTCAGGTATTAGCCTAAGCCGGACATGGTTATTAGCAAGGGGAGTCTGCCGAATTGCAACTTCCCTCTGCATTCCAGAGCCAAAGCTGCCTAATCCTTGGATTACCTGTCCCACCGCCCAATGCATGAGCCTTGATTGCTTCTCCCGGGGAAGTGTGCAGAGCCTCATCCGAAGCAGATCCCCCACCTCGGAGAGGTCCAGCCTGGGTCCTGGAGGCTCTCACCATCTAGGTAGGAGGAGACCTGCACTGAAGACCTGTGAGGCAGGCTTGTTCTTAGGGGGAGAGCTGCCTTTTGCTGAAACGCTATCTGAAAGAATGGTAACGAAATAATCTCACGAGAGCTAACATGGTAGATCTGATTTCATGTTAAGATTGCCTTAGCACTAATGGCTGGTCCTCGATTTATCCTCCAGTGGCTTCCTGCGGAAAGACTTCGTTATCCGAGAAAACAGGAGGGCCTCCAACACTCTTCCCACCCACTGAGGACCCCACGGCAGCTTCCAGTGGCCCTGGCGTTGGCCTCTGAGCGGGGGAGCCAGAGACCCTCCCAGAAAGAGCTCTTTGATTTCTAACGGGGTGATGTCCACAAGCAACCAAAGGTGGACGGGGTCCTGGGACCTGCAGAGAAGACGGTGGGCGAGGAAAAGAGGCAAACAGAGTGAGAATCCACACAAAAGCCAGGGAGATGCAGAGGAAAGGCTGGTCAAGCCAGGAGGGAACAATGGCCACAGGCTGGCCCTGACAGGGGGGAGCTAACGGGAGAGAGGGGAGGGGAGGGGAGGGGAGAGGGGGGCGAGGAGGGGGTCGCTGGAGCAGAAAGAGGAGGAAGGTGTGTCCTATTTACCAGCATTGGGATCCGAGGCCTAGGAGAAACCCAACACCGTGAGTAGCCATGTTTTGGGGGGTTGCCCTCATCAACACTGACTACTTCAAGAGGTCTTAGAAAGAGATGAGGGTGACAAAGAGACCCTGGGGCGGGGGGGACAGCCTGGAGCAGGGCTCCGCCCATCCTCAAGCTGCCACCTCTCCCTACACCTTTTACATTTTTTTCCCTGAAGGCACAGTTTTTCCCCCAGCAGAGGACTTACACTGAAACAGTCTCTTCTTCCGCAGCCACCCCTTCCTGCGCAGGGTGAAAGCCCTGCTCTAGTTTTTAGACCCAGATTGTCCCTCTGGTTAAAAAAAAAAAAAAGTAAATGGTCATAGTCATTCTTCTAGAACTTTCTCTGTTCCACCCACCCCCAACCCAATCCAAATAGGGCAAGTTAGAGCCATAGAGAGCGTTGGCAAGAGGAAGCATGAAAGGGTGAAAGCATGATGAAATGTGCCCTGTTTTTTCTATCAAAGCTACTGCAATTGGAATAAAGATTTGTGTTCAAGAAACACCAACCAGAACACTGTGTGCCGAGATCCTTGGTCAGATAAAGACCTGGGGAACGGAGCCTCCCACTGGCCTGTGTCTGCGGCTTTTTCCTGGACTCCAGTGCCCGAGCCCTGCCTGGCCCTGCCTGCACACAGTTCCTGGGAGGCCTTCCCCCCCACTCCCCGGGGCTGGCAGGCCTGTAAGGGAGGCCTTTTTTTTTTTTTTTTAATGTTTTTATTTATTTCTGAGAGAGAGAGAGAGACCGCGTGAGCAGGGGAGGGTCAGAGAGAGAAGGAGACACAGAATCAGAAGCAGGTTCCAGGCTCTGAGCTAGCTGTCAGCACAGAGCCCGACACGGGGCTCAAACCCACGAAACTTGAGATCATGACCTGAGCCGAAGTCGGACGCTTAACCGACTGAGCCCGAGGGAGGTCTTTAGGAAGCTCCCAGCCACGAAGCTGCGTTGGTGGGCAGCTACACCAGCACGAGGAGCCTGGGGGGCTGCTCCTGGCACTGCGGGCTGCCGGGACATCTCAAGTATATATTTGGGAACTCTCCTGGCCTGCCAAGAGGCCTGGCAGCCTCCAAACCTCTGAGGAAGGGTGGAGTCCAAGGGTCAGGTAAAAGGACCCCCCCCACCATCGCCCCGCTAACGCCAAGGCCCTCCCCGAGGGCGACAGCTCCGGGCCCAGCTCGCAGTCCTGGTGTGGGAACCCGGGCTTTCACACCACATGCAGAGCTCCCAGTTGGGCTGAAGTTTGGCTGAACAGAGCTGGAGCTGTCCAAGATCAACCCCGTGCGTGGTGGTTCTGCAGCGTGGACTCTGGCCCCCCACACACGGGGGGAGCTCTGGCTTCCGGACCCAGAGGCCAGCCTGGGTCATCGGGGCGCCAGACACTTGCACACGTTGGAACAACAGCTCAAAACCACCCAGTATGTTCTACAGGGGTGGCAGCTGCAGAGCTCGCGGCCCCTCCTTCACTCTCCTCGCTGAGGCTTCCCGCCCCGGCCCCCCAAAGCCGGGAGGGTCAGCACAGACGGCCTCCCCTCACAGCTTCGCCGGGGTGCAGACCCTGGCCTGTCCTCAGCCTGACACCACCCGGCCCGCCCCGCAGAGCGAAATCCCTGGTTCTGGGCGCCGAGAACAATCTGACTCTAGTTTATATTCTGAGCCTTCCTTCCAGCCTCCCCTCCCCCAGCCAAGGCGCTGGCCTCCCCTCGATCCACTTCCGCTACTAGCAAAACACCTACAAACAGAGATACAGACTTTCAGCAGCCAGAGAAAGGCTCCTTTCACCCCCGTGAGACACAGGAATGTTCTTCCAAGTCTCTCCACCTTCCCCTCAGTGTAGTCTGCGTTATGGCAGAAGGGTCCACGCAGACTGGAGAACAGAGGACACGGGCAGGGTCTGCCTCTGCCCTGGGCCTCGATTCCCTGCTCCTTGGGGAAAAGGAACGGGGGCGGAACAGTGCAAGCGTGGGCCCAACTCGGCAGTGACCTCAGTCTTTTTCCACAGGCCTGAACGGAACCGCAGGAGCCCCCAGGCCCCTGGTGCTGAGGAAGCAGCCCAGTGTGATGCTCTAAACAAAGGGCTTGGTGTCCACAGATCTACTTCTAGGCCCCGCTCCCTCGTTCCTATCTGTGAGCCTTGGCAAGCCACGCCGCCTCTTTGACCTCAGATCCTGCAGCTGTGAAATGAAAATAATCATTCCTATCTCCCTGAGTTGTGACCAGGAAGCAAAACCACATACTTGAAAGTAAACAGCCATGCCCCATGCAAGTGTAAGGCAGAGTAATTTATCCTGCATGTAACAATTCCTGTACTGGGTATATCATACTCGCGGAACATCGCTTTATTGGCAGAGGCGTGGATGAGGTAAGGGTAGCCCACTGGTCCGCGGATGGCATGGGAGATGAATATGGGCATGGCATAGCCAGGCCCAGAAAGTCAAGGGCAAAAACAGCAGTCCTTCAGCTTCAGATTCTGTTTGAATCCAGGCTCAGGAAGGCCACCTACCTTCCAGAAGTTCTAGCCTCATGGTAAAGGGTGTGAGCTCTGGAGCCACACCAGCAAGGGACTTCTACTTAGGCTGTGTGACCTTAGCCAAGTTGCTTCACATCTCTGAGTTTCAGTTTCTGCATCTGTGAGATGGAGATGACAGCCCTTTTCTCAGAGGGCCTAGAGCTGATTAAATGAGATAATATATAAAGACACATAAGTGCCTGGCACTTGAGAAGTATGTATTTGAGTTTTGAACAGTCAAGTTGGCCAGGGACCCATAACAGAACAGAGTAGAATGGCTTTCTACGAGGTGAGGAGGTTTGTGAACAGACAGTTTTGTAGATATATCATAGGTTCGTTCTGTGATAGTAGTGAAATAGATAATAAACAGTCACAATAGTAACTGTGAGCATTTACTAATGTACCAGCACAGCACCGAGCCATTTGTGTGGATTAGCTCTGAGCAAGCGTCTGGGTTCTAACCCCAAGACCACCTTAAGGAGAGTGGAGGAAATCTGTGCATATTGTTTGCCTGCCTCACCGCTCAGTTCTGGCATGTGTTTACTCCTCTAACCTTTGGCAAATTTATAAACCATCGGCTCTGAGCATTTCCACGCGCCAAGCACGTGCGATCTCTTTTGCTCCAGTTTACGTGAGTCGGCCACACAAAAAAAGCTGTGACCTTCTCAGAAGTCCCCTGGGTTTGTGGAGGTGGCTCAGGAGGTCCAGAGCGAAGATGAAATTGGGCGGGCCCTCCTGCAGCAGAGGCCTGAAGAGGATCCCTCCAACCCCAAGATGCTCCTTAAAAATCAAGGGTGCATTCCATCTGTGTCCCCTTGGCACCTGGCCCAATCTTGCATGTGACAGACACTCAATCAGGGTGGTAGGGCAGGTAAGACAATTTAATTCCTTTTTTTTTTTCCTCCAACACCGCCACCCCCAGCCTGTCTGTGCCTACCCCGTGTCAGGAATGAATGGGTTAAGGAGATAAAGACAAGGTTCTTCCTGAGAAGCTTTCAGAGGGTGGCGTCTCAGACGAGCATAATCAGACTGCCTCTGGCTGAGCCCGTATCAGACAAATTACCTTACTTCTCTGCACTTTGGTTTTCTTATACAGAAAATGTGGATGATAACAGAATCGACTTTGTTGAGTTGTAAGGCACTTAGCCCAATGCTTCCACGTGGTAAATTGTCCTTTGTAAGACAGATAAAAATACACACACACACACACACAGCCCCCGAGAGCTAAGAAGCAGCCAGGCAGTGCACCCCCACACTCTCATGCACCCACACACTGACCTGAAAACGCAGAGCAACACACACATC